TTTCTATACAGTTTACAGTTATCTGTTCTCTCGGGCGGCAGTTATCGATGCCCAACTGTATTTCCATTTTTCTAAAGCTCCATTTTCTAGAATAAATAATACGGATGAATAAACGGCCGTCGAAGCGTTCATAAGAGAGCTGAAATTTATTGAATATTCATACATCTGCCGCGGCATTACCATACGCCGCGCGGTGTGCAGTATAAAACATGCAAATTGATTTGCATTCTATCCTCGGCTGCGTAAAATCATTGACTTGCTTAGACAGCTCGTGCCGACGCGCTCGAAGCGGGGCGCAGGAGGGGCGCGCGGTACAAGGACGAGCCTGTCGAATCTGCCGATTAAAATGGGCACGAAGGAAACGTGGACTCGACAAACCCGGAGATACTTGGTGAAATTTGGCTTAATTTCAATTTTTAAAAAGAATTGTCAGACGACGTTAGGCTGGCAGGATGGTTTATTTACTTTCGGCCACGCGGGTTGCGGCCCCTTTTTCAAGGAATTTAATAATCTACAAGTTTTTTTTTAGAGGACATTGCAACTTAAAAGTGTATCGATTACAACATGAAATCGACACAAGTCAAATTACGAGCCACGCGAAGTGTTTGTAAGTTAAAACAATTTGACTTATGTCGTAATCGATACACTTTCAAGTTGCAATGTCTTCTAAAAAAACCTGTAGATTATTAAATTCCTTGAAAAGGACCGCAGCCCGCGTGGTCGAAGCGTCGGAATTAAACAAATAAACCATCTGCCAGCCTAATGTCGCCCAACAATTCTTTGTATCGTTAATTAACTACTGGCGATTACGCGTTCTTTCGTTGTAATTTAATTTTAATTTATTGCAAACATATGGCACAGTAGTGAAAGGGGAAAAGATCGTGGTGCAAAGGGTTGGGCAGCAACGGAAGTTGTTGCGAGCCCACCAGTTAAGACTGAGATAAGATTACGCGGAGGTAAAAGAGAGAATGTATAATACACAATTTGGAGTTTGGGGCGAAAAGGGGGAAGGGAAATATGAAAAATTGCGAGAAGTCTCTTCTTCAGCGCGACCGTTGAATTATTTCGCTCGTAACCTGCCATGTCCTCCCGACTGACTCTTATCCAGAATTTATTTGGCGGTCGTTAAGCTCGCCTCGTCGTCTCCCGCGATGCTCCGTTTAGAGCTTATCGAATTCGCATTAGATTAACGACGTGTAATAAAAGGTGCGGAGAGAACGGGAGAGCTGCCTTTTACAAGCTTCACGAGCCGCGGCGACGGATGATGTCATATCGAGGCTGTGCACGCAGGGAGACGGGCGGGTGATCGTGTTCTCGTATTACTTATCGGGCTGAAAAGTGAATATGATTACGGGGCCGCGAGGCGCAAGGTCGCGATCGCTGTACGCGGCGTGGAAAACGATCTACGTCGAAACTACTCGGGACCTGCTGACGCTCACGTTTCGCCGAAGCCACGCGCCGCGGCGAATCATCGGGAAATGATCTCATCCCGGGGAAGCGAACGCGCGGACGGAGCGTCGTGAAGCTAAATCTCTACAGTGGACGCGAAACGCAAGTAGACGCTAAGCCGCAACGCGAGAGATCGACCGATCTCAGTGTCGAACGTGAGAAGAACGATTGACTGCCATTGGCCGATTTCTCGCGTTGCGGCTTTTGTTAGTAGCGTCTTGCGTTTCGCGCGCATTGTAGAACAAAGCTTGAAGCGGCGGTCGAACGGCGCGTCTCCGCGCGCTCGCAATCGCCGGGGGATCGAGGAGAGAACTCCCCCCCTTCCCCAGCCGCGTGTCCCGCGGGGCTTATCGCTCGTTTCGCGGAACCGAGGGACCGAGAACTATGTAGGCGAAAGTGTTTTTATTGAGATAGGTTCCCACTGTGAGTAACGGTTCACGAGTGAAAGGAACGGCCGATAAGAAACCCCGAGGTACCTGCTACGAGCACGCCGGACTCGCGTCTGCGTGCTCTTCGATTCGCGCCGCCGCGAGTCGCGTCCGAGCGCAGCTATTTCGCGTGCCACGACGTTCGTTCGCGAACGGAGAATCTCGACTGACATTTCGACAAGGTCGCGGGACTCCTCGAGAATACGGTCCTTCGATAAGTAGAATGGGCCTTTCGTAAATTCTGTTGACAACGGAGACGATATTGTTTCTTTTATTTCGCAGTCTATCTGCTAATTTTCTTACTTCACAAACGTTACCTTAAGGCGCTGGATCTACAATAGACGCAGCAAGCCGCAAGAAATCGACCAATCGCAGCCGAAGATGAGAAGAATAATCGACTGTCATT